ATGGCACCTCAGCCAGCCACTCACAGGGGGTGACTTCTTCCCATATTTGAGGCACCACAGCCTCAGCAGGGTCCATCCCCACTTTGTCCCATAATGTTTTCCAGGCTGAGGGATTTACCCTTCCCCAGGACCTCACAGAAATGCTCATCAAATCTGCAAACCTGTTCCTGGGGGTCGGAGATTGGATCACCGTTTTTTTCCCTAATGATTGTAATAGGTGTGGTGCTGCAGGCAACTTTTTGGATGCAGTTAAATAGGGATTTGTGATCACGGGCCACTGAGGCAGACTCCATCTCCTCAGCAACCCGCGACCACCACCCATCCTTGCAGCACCTCACGGCTCTCCGAACCTCCGAGCGAAGGCTGTGGTAAGCCTACTCATTCTCTGACATGGGATGTTGTAGATGATGAGAGTGGCCCTCTCACTTTTTCTCAGCCAGTCTGACCACCTCTGTCAGCCAGGGTCTCTGGGGAGGTCTGGTTCGTGTACCCAAAGCAGCCATTGCAGCTGCATGAGCCACAGTCCTAAACCTCGTCCATTTCCCCTCGACATCAGGAGGAGTGGGGGACGATGCCAACCCCAGCCGCATACGATGATGAAATTCTCGCTTGCAACTTTCATCAGCTAGCTGAGATCATGCCACTGTGGGTTTGAATGGGATCCTGGGTGTACACCCACCACCGGAGTGAAAGAATGGCAGGCACATCTTACAGATGACAAGTCAATGGTCAGTGGGCAGATCAGCTCCACGGTAGGTCCTGGTGTCAAGGACATGGGCCCGCATCCACTGTTCCGTCACTATGTATCCCAGCAGATGTTCTTGCTTGGCCCCGGCATGCATCCATGATGTTGTATGGATGCGCCGATGCCGGGGCAGCATTAACGCAGCTGTTGTATGTACGTGCGGTGACGGTGCTCGTGTGTGATGACAGGGCTCATTTTTCTACCTGATGACGATTGCTTGTGTTGCGATCGAAACGTGATTTGTTATTTATTTTTTCGACCTACATGACTTTACCGAAAGAACCAAGGAATATAGTGCATAAAATTCGTGATCTGATCCCATCTTTGAAGGACAAGATTCCTGACATGCAATATCCCGGCGTTTGCAAAATAAGCTGTATCTGCGGCAGCAGTTACATTGGGGAAACTAAACGACATGTATCAGACCGTGTTCGTGAACATAAGATCTGAAACACGGCAAGACCAATACTTCTGCCGTGGCTAATCATTACTTGAATGCGGCTGGCTCACATGAAATGTATTTCTCTAAGACAATGGTACTTTGCAAGTCGACTGGCTATCAACAAAGATTTGTTTACGAAGCCATCCATATGTAATAAAAGACTTCCACGACGATGCTTGTCAGAGTGCTTCTTTTATTAACGGTAGTACGGCACAGCTCGCTCCCTCCCCCTCCGGTGATTTCCCTCTTAACACAGTAGACGAGGCGTCCCTCTCCGAGTACCCCCGTGGCTCACTCCACTCTCCCGGCCTCGCCGCTGACTGACAGCGTGCCGGAAGGAGGGGTGAGCTCCGTTGGAGGATCTGCCACGTGGCCCGTGGCGAGGAGGGAATGAGCAACGATGCGGTCCCTGAACCCAGGCTTCCCACACCGATCAGGAGTCCTCCCCTCCCTCTCCTTATATTCACTCCGGCGGAGCTAGGCTCCACCTCTAGCCACGCCCCCTCGTGGAATCTTCCCGATGGTTCCAGAACCTCTGTGTGCGACTCTGCCCATCCTCCCTTGCCCAGATAGTATCCCCCCTTCGGATTGGATGCTGATTACATAATGGTGCCTGTCCCCGTTACCCTCTGGCACCCCCCGGATGGCGCTCTCTCATTACACATATATACAGACACAATTTCAACTGAGACGATGGTTATAAACTTAGCAATCATTGGAAAGATGTCATCAACCACTTTGGGTCATGCCTTGATTTGTGTTTTCTTGTCAACCTCTATCGTCAGCAGTGTGGATGTGTGTAGCAAGGTGCAATGCCCCCCCCTTCCCCATCTCTACCCCCTCTCTCCCCCTATCTCTACCCCCTTCCTCCCCCCTTTGTCTATTCCTTCATGAGCACTGACTGCCCCGCCCATGCTGTTTACGCTGCACAGCTCTCCTCCTCACAACTCTAGTTTTTTTTCCCACTCACTTTGGAAACCCTTATAAGCAGTTACATTTGGAGGCTTATTTTCTCTCCGCCTGATGAAGACCGTTTGTGTTGCGATCGAAAGGTCGTGGATTTTTTCTTTTATTATTTATTTTAAATTTATTTTATTTTCTAGCTAAGTGATTTTACCTAAAGAACCAAGAATATGAATAAGAAATAGTACTTGCTTAACAGTGCCGTGATGAGGCCTAGTCCCGTGCAGAGCCCCCGGCCTCGCCTAGATTGCCCAGCCGGCCGAGGTGGTACCTTGGCAGGCTGGGGCTGGGCTGCTAGCCCCCCCCCCACACACACGATCCCCCCGCCTGCTCTGTAGTAGTATCTACGCCTATCGTAGTAGCATCTGACTCTATAGTAGTAACTGCACACATTGGGGTGGGGGAGAGGAGAGAACAGGACATCACACGGTGAAGAATTAACCTCAGCATTGTGTGTATTTTATAGCATTTTTAACGCGAATGAGAATTCTCTTCCCCCCCTTCCACGGATCCCGCTGTTTGCGTTGCTAGGGGCAACTCCCGGTCAGCTTTGTCGCGCATGCGCGAATGCGTGCTTTGGCGCTCGCAGAGCGGTGTAAGTAAATAAATAATAAATATCGCTTAATTGCTAATTTAACTACTTTAAAGTTGACGGATGGGAAAATGGAATAGCGCTGGCTCACCACGGGGCTTATGGCGTGGTACCTGGCTACTTTTTGTTTTTATTAAACATTAACTCCACGGTTTGTGAGCCAAATCCTTCGCAAGTTTCGTCCACACACACAGACAAAAAAATGACATTTATAGGTAAGAACGTGGAGAACAAGGACTACCAATGCACAAGGATTGGTGATGTTGCTGGGAGAGAGCCTCAATTGTGCAGCTCCAGGTTCCTCAACCGCTTTAGCAAATTCTCATTTTGAGATCATTGGCAGCCGACACAACACACCTGCATATTAATGCCATTCGTTTTCCAGAATGCTGCAAGGTCTACTCGAGAATGGGTTATCGGTAAAGGCAATAACCTCAAGTACAAGGTACTGTATGTGTATTACTACTATGAGCCAAGAATGTCTGTCTGTAACGCGCGTGACGTTACTCCACATGCCGCACCCCCTGCATTCATATTCATGAGCCGGTGGATTTTTACACTTGCGCAGGTCGAGCGGAAATTTTTTTTCTCGCAAATTCGCTTTAAGTTCGACGTTTATTTATTGAAAGTGAATCTAATAAAATATACGCAGCAACAAAGTGGATTTGGTGTCTTTATTTATTTCTTCAGCACTTGAGGCAAAAGGTAAGTCTAATTTATGCTTCTACATTATGGTAAAATAGACATTTCTCGGTGATTTTCTAGATATTGTATCGAATTAATATTTCAACCCCAGCGAATGAAAGCAGAAGAGAATAAAGTATCAGAGCAGTGAATTTGAACAATTTGAAGGTCAGTTATATACAGTGCTACAGTGACATGAAGTGAGGTGTTTTATGATGTAGTTTTGTGCAGGAATCACTGCCATTAAATTTACACAAAATACAATTATACTCTGGACAATTTTTTCGTAAATATTACAGCTTCCGTCCTAGGACAGGCAAATAAGCTAGTCCATAATAATCTTCCTGTAGTCACGAAAGCTTTAAATCAAGATTGCTCAATAATCTTGTTATTGTACTCTATCATATCGTCCTATGAGGACGAAGGCAAGATGTTTGTTGCATGCCAACAATCTTCCTGTTCTGATCTTGGGAGACGTGACCCTGGGAGTATGGAGCTTAAATCCTGGTGTATATGTGATCTGGCGCTGTATCAAGGGGAAAGCTGAACATCGGTGTCAAGTAGCCTTGATATCAGGGTTCACATGAGGCTATTGGGCAGTAGGGTTCCACAGTAGTAACACTCGTGCCTGAAAGCAAGAAGGGTCTGGGTTCGATTCTCGACTTGGGCACGTTGCTATGGAAAGTGTTATGTTTCATCCCCTGTTCTGCAGAATGTGAACGTGTAAATATCTATGCGAGTGAATGGAGATTATTTGGTCTCTTGTTATGATGGGTGTACTCTGGGTTTTAATGTTACAGCTAACAGAAACCAATGGTACAGATATTGGCCAAACTACACCCCAATGCTAAAACATTGCCTGCAAGTTACTCGATTTGATTACACACAGCACACATGTCAACCCCTTATCAGTGCCTACCTTATTACAGACCAATTTAGATGTTATTGGTCACCCCGTGCCTTTATATTCTCAACGTTCATCCGACAAAGCCCCATTAAAATGGATAAACACATAAATATATTTAAAAAAAATTGCCCGTATTGAAACGGCTGTACGCCGTATGAACCTGAAAACTCAATTTCCCTTTACAAAATACGGGTAAACCGTGTGGGTTGACGGGAGCAGCAACATCGCTCCTTGTTGCAAAAACTTGGCAGGGCCCTTATGAACAGGTCCTTGCAGGGTGGGCTGGTAGGACAAGTCTCTGCGCTGTCTATTGCTGATTTTACACCCAACAGCACGAGATTTCACTTCGTTAAAGTATTGAAAAGGGACGGACGGACACATTAATCTATTGCAGGCTGGTACACTCAGTTTACAACTTCGTTCCTACCAGTAAAACATTACTTGAGACTCGGCGAAACTTTCCCCGGTAAACAAGCGGAACCATCAGAACGAGACGTGCCCTGGCTCTGGGTGTCCAGCGGGTCAAGTGAAACGTGCTCTGACCCGCATGGCCCCCCACTCCCCGCACGTGAGGGCCACGTGGTTTTATTCCCCCATGCCTCCCCCCTAAGCCGCTCGCGGTCGAGATGTTGGTGACGTCACCGGACGCGGCTATAAAAGCTCGCGCTGCACTGACGTCACTTCCTCCTGAACTTTTCTCGCTGCCGAGAAGGAGCAGCGCGTCTCGAGGCTCCGCGCGTCTCCGCGAACAGCAGAAGCAGCAGCAACAGCAAAACAAAAAAAACCTCAAAAAAATAAAAAACAACAAAAAAATAGCAAAACCCCCCGAATAAAAACATAAAAATTTCCCCGCGGAGCTGTGCCGAACACGCAGCTCGTAACGCCGCAGCCGCCAGTACCGACAAGAAGACGACGCAACCGCCATTAGCCATGAACCCCGCCGGACCCAGCTACCCCATGGCCTCGCTCTACATCGGCGACCTGCACCCCGACGTGACGGAGGCCATGCTCTACGAGAAGTTTTCTCCCGCGGGGCCCATCCTCTCCATCCGCGTGTGCCGCGACATGATCACGCGCCGCTCGCTCGGTTACGCCTACGTCAACTTCCAGCAGCCGGCCGACGGTGAGTGGGGTAGCGCGGTAAGGCGGCAAGGCCTGCCCGAGGCTTCGGCCTACATGGCCGCGTTGCGACAGCGAGGGTGGGGGAGGGGCGGGGCGCTGCCTCTTCGTTTCTCTGTTTCTCACGCTTTATATTTCCCCACCCGTGTCTCGGTGTCTCTGGTAATGTTTATTCCGCTCAAGTTATATGTGTTGCTCATGATGGAGTCGGCTCCGATGGGGAATCGTTGGGTGGATGCGTGGACGTTGGGTCTCGCATTGGGGCCGCCGTTGCCCGTTACGACACGAGGAGAGCGGGGACAGCGAGGTGGGGGGAGGAACGGAGCACAGAGATATGGGAGATGAAACGGAACTTAAGGACAGGAAAAAGGTCAGGGTTAATCGAGGAACAACATAAATATGGGAGGAGGAAAGATTATGGAAATAAAACTGCTGTGTAAGGGCGGGGGAATACTTATTGGGAAAGGAAGAGCACACGAGGGACGGAGGTGGAACGGAACTGGATGGAAGCGAAATTCAATAAGGCAAAGAACGGAACTCATGATGTGTTTTTGCAAGAGCGCCCTTTACGCAGGTGTCTCAAGTGCATGCGGTAGAAACAACTGGGAATACAATGGAGATGAACGATTATAAATGGAGACAGAACATGACAGGAAATAGGATTGGGAGCATGTCTGGCGATAGTGTTGAAATAGAACAAGTGATGGACGAGGAACAGAACTGAAGAACCAGGAATACGATTTAGAATAGAGGGGGGGCAACTAAGGAAGGACAACTAAGGAAGGAGGAATAGAATTAGGAATGGAGGGGGAGTAGACATGGGTTGAGGAGGAATAACTGGCAATGGGACAACAGGGGATTTAATTTCTTAGCGGCAAATAGCTGTTTATGTTGCTGGTGGTGATGTGATGAAAACGCAGTGGGGTTGATGGTAGCGTGTGATGATGACACAGGTGCCGTGTGTTGTTTCAGCCGAGCGGGCGCTGGACACGATGAACTTCGACGTGGTCAAGGGGAAGCCCATACGCATTATGTGGTCACAGAGAGATCCGTCGCTGAGGCGCTCGGGCGTCGGAAACATCTTCATCAAGAACCTAGACAAGTCGATCGACAACAAGGCCCTGTACGACACCTTCTCAGCCTTTGGGAACATCCTATCGTGCAAGGTGCATAGGGAGCGTGGTGAATGCGGTGTATGGTGCCTGGGGAGTGATATAAGGTGCGGAAGGAGTGTGGTGAATGGTGTAAGATGGATGAGGAATGTGGTATAAGGTGTGGTGTAAGGTGTGTGGGGACTATGGTGAATGTAGTGTAAGGAGCGTAGTGAGCATGTTGAATATGGTGTAGAGGTGGTGAGTTGGAGGGTGTTTAAAATGATGGCGGTATTTGGAACATAATGTGCTGTAATGTGAGTCTAGGCCTCGAGCTGACATCGTGGATGTTGGCTGCTCTGCTTGCAGTCTCTATCTGTGTTGCCATGCAGGTGGTGTGACTGACGCTGTGCTTACCCATAGGTGGTGTGCGACGAAAACGGCTCAAAGGGCTACGGGTTCGTGCACTTTGAGACGCAGGAAGCAGCGGACAAGGCCATTGAGAAGATGAACGGCATGCTTCTCAACGACCGAAAAGTGTGAGTGCCAGCACACGGCGCAGGCGGCGCAGACCCCCCACACGATCCTAGTATAGCAGTGGACATGCACTTGTATGTGTGCTGAGTGGAGCCTTGCGGCTGCTCTGTGCTGCAGGTTTGTGGGGCGGTTCAAGTCACGAAAGGAGCGAGAGGCAGAGTTTGGAGCGAAAGCACGCGAATTCACTAACGTCTACATCAAGAACTTCGGGGATGACATGGACGATGAGCGACTACGCGAGTACTTCGAGCAGTACGGTACGCGATTGTCAGGAGCATGCGGTAGCTTCGGTCGTGTCCTCCAGAACTCCGCAATGAGGAACTCGGGGTATTGGGGGAACCTTCCTAACGAAGGCTGTTGAGATGATGTTGTTTGGCATTGATGGGCTGTATGTGAGATTGAGTTTGTAGAGGCAAGGCTTATGTATATTTCTGTCCGTGACTGTTTACAGTTGGGAAGACCCTGAGCGTAAAGGTGATGATGGACGAAGGTGGAAAGTCCAAGGGCTTTGGGTTCGTGAGTTTCGAGCGACACGAAGACGCGCAGAAGGTGCCCACTCCTTCCTGAACCCAGCCCATCCCTGCATGCTGGCCTGGCATCGGGCCACTCATCCACGTGCACAGTCCCTGTGCGCGCAGCATGGACCAAGCATAGCCCCGGGCGTCTCGCGGCATTATTGCCACACCCTACTCTTATCTGTACAAACCCACATGCAACCATGGGTCATAATAAAACATGAACCGTGTGTGTCATCACACACTGACATGCGTGTACACAATCGTGTGTACACACCGAACATTGTACATCATCACACACCGCCATGCATATACATACACAATCGTGTGCATGTTCTGAATGGACCTTGTGCTTCATAACACAACCATGTGTACACATCGAACCATGTGCGTCATCCCACACTGCCACACGTGTACAAACAGGGTTGTGTACACCCAGGGTTGTGTCTACATGTTGTTAACTCTGCGTGCTGAACACATGGTTTTGCGTGGACAGTGAACTCTGCGCTTGGTGGGGCTGCTGTCGTTATGGTGTGGCTTGGGTCAGTCGTCTGTTGTGACAGCAGTAATGGGTTCATGGTTCCCCTGTGTGCGTGTGCAGGCGGTGGACGAGATGAACACCAAAGAGTTGAATGGTCGCGCCATATATGTGGGGCGCGCGCAGAAGAAGGCGGAGCGGCAGACTGAGCTGAAACGCAAGTTTGAGATGCTCAAGCAGGAGCGCATGAGCAAATACCAGGTGCCGGAGCGTCACAGAGACGGCACAGAGACACGACAATGAAAATAATACACAAAGATTATACACATGTCACAAAACACACACTGCACGTCACAAATAAATGTAAACGCAAACAGCTGGATAACTGCTTAATCACAAATATGTAAATGGAAGCCTAACATATTTAGTGATTTATGTAATGGTTCTGGAGATAGGATTGGGATGTCCCAGCACACAAACTTGTTTGCACCTGTGTGTCGGTTTAAGGGTGCAGAAACACGAGGGTCAGAGCGCAGGGTGTTGGTGACGTGTCCTGAGGCTGGAGCTTGTCTCCCCCGGATAGTCCCCCTCGTGTGCAGATTGAATGCTTATATGCTGAGGTAGTGTCAACCTTCTTTGGTTCTTTCGGTAAAGTCACGTAGAATGATAATAAAATAATAAATTGATAAAATAAAATAACACAATATTCTCACGACGTTTCGGCCACAACACAAGCGGCCTTCATCAGGTGAAGGGGGCGAGACTGTCTGGTAGGACAGCGCTGGAGTGAAAGAGCCACGTTCAGATACGGCCTTTAAGCTGTGTGAGAGGAACAAAGCGCCTTGACAAAGGAATTAGCATATAATTTAGCATTGAAATGGCTGAATGATTAGCTTGTGACTGGTCACAGAAATAGCTATGTTAAAAGTTATTTAGTGTCAACCTTCTGGGGATGACTGATTGACGCTGCGGTCGCCTCTGTGCAGGGAGTGAACTTGTACGTGAAGAACCTCGATGACAACATCAACGACGAGCGTCTGTGGAAGGAATTCTCCCCCTTCGGCACAATTACTAGTGCCAAGGTGAGTGCGCCTCTTCTTTGAGCAACTGTGCTGCTGCTAAGGAGTTTGTTGTGATTGCCTTCCAAGTCTCTTTGCTGAGATTTCCCTGATAGGCGCTGATCGCTGTGTGCGCCCACTGTGTGTGCTGCAGGTAATGATGGAGGAGGGCCGCAGTCGGGGCTTTGGCTTCGTGTGCTTCTCATCACCCGAGGAGGCCACTAAGGCTGTGACAGAGATGAACGGCCGCATCATCGGCTCCAAGCCACTGTATGTGGCGCTGGCACAGCGCAAGGAGGAGCGCAAGATGCACCTGACATCACAGTTCATGCAGCGCTTGGCCGGCATGCGTGCCGTGCCGCCCAGCGCCATCATCGGACAGTACCAGCCGGCCGCAGCATCCGGATACTTCATGGCGGCCATGCCACAGGTGAGGGCCTGGGCGCTGCACTTGGGATTCATGGCAACGGCGATGGTGGAAGGGTGTGTCGAGGATGGACCCGTGGGCCTGACCGATTGTGTCCCGTGTGTCCCAGCAGGCCCAAGGCCGCACGGCGTACTACACACCAAGCCCGATGGCGCCCATGCGGCCCAACCCCCGTTGGCCCCTGCAGGTGCGGCCACAAGGAGCGCACGCAGCAGGTGAGTGATCGGGGTGTAGGGGGGTCGGATGTTTTTCGCGATGGTGGGAGTGAGCGAGCGCTATTACCGAGTGATGTCCTAACGAGTGCGCGTGCGTGGTCCCCGTAGGCTTCCAGGCGATTACCGGTCCCATGAGGCAGCCAGCGCCACGACCGACACAAATGCGCACGGTGAACCCAGCGAGCGTTCCCCAGGTTCCACGGGGTACGCTGTCCTCACTACACTCCACCACCCCCCCCTTTCTCCGCGATCCACCGGCCTACATCTCGGGCACAGAATCACGACACGGCAGTCTCACTCAGGGTTTCACTTTAATGTCGTGTGAAGTACACAGGAGGAGGATTTCGAGTGCAGATCCCTCAGTTTACAACGCATCACTGTCTTTTACAATGCCACAGAACCACAGTTAATTTGACCCTCGTCTCATGAACTGGCGTCCGCGCCCTGCTCTGTCGTGTGTGCAGCGTCACAGGGCATGATGCCGCGCCCCACATTCCCGACCCAGGCAGCCGGGCCACGCGCTCTGCCAGGCTACAAGTACACGGGCAGCGTGCGGAACCCGCAGCAGCCCGGGGTGCAGGGCCCTGGCGCCATGCAGCAGGTAATGGCTACGTCCGAGCTGCCTCGTGTGTCCTCGTGGACTCCTTGATTACAATCGGGTGTATTATGTAACTGGATATGATTTGCGGTGTTGCGTGTATAATGCATGTTATGTTTGTATAATGCTGTTTGTGATGTGTGTGGCTTGTATGCTAGGCATGTATTACATGCGCTGTGGCATGTGTGTCACGTGTGATGATTGACATGGCGTGTCGTGTGTCCCAGGCCCCTCAGTCAGCCGTGCACATCCAGGGCCAAGAGCCGCTCACCGCCTCCATGCTGGCCGCTGCTCCACCACACGAGCAGAAGCAGATGCTGGGTGAGTCATCGTCTAGATCGCCGCACCCTGCTATGCGTTACTCCTGATGTGCCGCGGTGTTGTCGGTGCGGATGCGAAAGCGTAAACGTGTGTGCGCGTGTGCACACGTGTGCAGGTGAACGTCTCTTCCCACTGATCCATGGCATGTACCCAACCCTGGCCGGCAAGATCACGGGCATGTTGTTGGAGATCGACAACTCGGAGTTGCTGCACATGCTCGAGTCCCCAGAATCGCTGCGTGCCAAGGCGAGTGCAACCTCTTGCACACTGCCACCCGCACGAGTGTAGAATTAGGGCGTTGTGTTAATGAGCCGTGTCGTGTCTTGTGTGCTGCACAGGTGGAGGAGGCTGTGGCTGTGCTGCAGGCTCACCAGGCCAAGGAGGCTGCTCAGAAGGCAGCTGTTGGGGCCATGTAGGCTACTCCAGCCACAGGTGAGGCATGGGTGAGGGCACTGCCCGAAATGGGCTTGCGATGCATGCGTGCCTATTTTGTAGTTTTAAATGGGCACCCCCAGACAATAACTGCTGTTGACTTTGCACACTTTGCAGAAGCCAGCAGCCGTCTTCACCACAGCCACCCCAAGCCTCCACGTTATGGCCCACCCCGACGCTGGCAGCTACACGCTGCTAGCAGCGGAACAAGTTTCCCGTGACCCAGTGGTTGCCCTCGAAGTAATTATTTTTGTCCCTTGTTTTGTACTCTGTACGCTTTCTCAACTGCAATGATCTACATCTCTCGGCTGGGGAAAAGCTCACCAGGCAATGGAGCCTCTGGCTTCGTTTGGCCCTTGTTTCTGTATTTGGGTTCAGTTTTAATAAACAGTTTGTTCAAGTGCAACGCTTCCAGTTTGTTGTAATAAATTGTCCCCAAATACGCTCCTCGTGTGCCGCTGTGTCCTGTTTTTTTGCTGGCTTTTCAAAACGTCCGATTACATTGCATTGAGCTCCAAGGAGAAAGACGGGGGCTATCAGACTGGTTGCCAAATGGGAGTGCTCGCCCTCGGGGTAAGGTTGGTCGGGCAGGCTGTGTTGAGGCCTCCAGTACTAGCAGGTGGCAGTGGTTCCAAGAAACGCCGTCACTGCGTCATCCATTTGGGCTTCTTTGGCTCGTGGATGCAGACAACGGACTGTTGCCCCCTCGCCCGCCGTCAAGCCTCCGGACGAGCTTGTCCCACGAAGCTAGAGAAGGTGACACTGCGCGGTATGGGTCACACAGGACAATACGTGAAAGCCCCAACATTTTTGACACCATTTGAATATAAACCCAAGTTGACCTCAATTTAAGACAAATGGTGTACAAATAGGTGTACAATATTTTAGTTCATAACTGGTTAAACCCAAAAATGTATTAGGGCTGAGTCGTGGCTGTGAATGTAGCAATTATCTGATCAGAGCCGAGTAAAAAAGTCCCATCCGCTCGGGGGGCCGATAGTGAAAAGAACTAAAATATCTCGTGGATATTTCCCAAAAGGACTAAACTTTTTGCGAATATTACAGATCAGTTTTACACGTAAGGCGTTTGCGACCAATATCCATAGATCGCGTTACATATATAAATGTCGTTAAACCCGCCACCACCCGACGGCTAATTAGTAAGTTTTGTCACGTAAACAGAACATTACAATTCGTTCTGAGGACAGCACACCGGTGTGTTGGAGAGCCAAGCCACAACATTTAATCTGAGTAATTACAACTAGCTTCATCAGGCAACAGCCAGATTTGTGAATTACGTGATTAACCTTACTAATTGGGGCTGTGGTGGGTTTAACGACATTTACGCGATCAAACCCAAAATCTATTATGGATTTCATTAGATATTTAATAAAGTTCCAATTCCCGATCAGAAACAACATTGATATAGAAAATGGAACGAGTGCAAAGCATGGAGCGATGTGGATTTCAGAATGTACGCAGGTTTGCGATGTTGATTTACGAAACGTGGGCTTGGCCAGGGCACATCCTGAGGTGGGGGGGGATGATGGCCGATGGCTCAGAGTGGAGTGGTAGTAAGGGGTTTAACGCACCTGAGTGGAGTGACCGTCAGCTCTTAAGCAGTTACGAGTTGCATTATTCCATTGCAAGATGGTGTTGGCTGGGGAAGCCTTCATCGAGTAGTGGATTGGTCATGGCCAATGTTCAATTGAATAATTTAGGTAAACAAAAGTATGAACATGTTTTAAACTTTGAAACTGAAAAGATGTGCAATTCGAATTTGCGTGAGGTGTAAAATTAATAAATAAAATTACTGAAGCAATGAACTGCGTTTGATCGAAGTTGCCAAAGAGCGTTTTTATTGTTTCCAATTAAGTTGAGTACAGCAGCACTCGCAATGCACTCGTTGCTCACACAGCCCTCACGGGGAAATACGATGGCGGCATGTCTGGCAGGGGCCCTTTTTACGAGCAAGACTGAAAATTCCATGTAGTTTGTACCAAAAATGGTAAAATTCGCTTCGGTTATCAACTCGACAAAAAGATACGAGGACGATGTATGGAAGTGAAATACATACGTACTGAGTAGATATTCCAGCAGAACGTCCGCACAGCTCCACGCTAGGATCTCCATAGCGTCACTCCAGCAAGACCTCCACACAGGTACACTCCAGAAAGATCTACACACAGCTCCACCCTGTTGCTGTATCTTCGAATACAGGTGCATTATCTGTTTGTGTGACAATTGACTGAGCTCTACCTTTTCTGGGAAAATCTAATCTTTTTCACACCGGTAGTTTCTTCAATGGAGCGGTGACGCTCACCCCTTGCCTGCCACAGTGCCAGCACACTCGCCAACACCACCAGGGCATTCACGATACCAAACAAAAACTGTCAAACCACCAAGTGGTGGTGATTTTACAACAGTGCTTGCACCGTGCTCGGTGCACTTAGGCTATGTGCAATGGAGAAATCTTGCTGGTCGGAGATTATGGGACAGACCCATGTGCCATTGGTTAACTGAGACGACTGAAAGATGCACCACCTGCGCTCCCTACTGTGACAACCCGCTGCGTTTTCGCCACCCGGCCCTCCCCTCGTGGTAAACATTGCTCCTCCACCCTCCATTATAGGAGGGTGACTGCCTCCAACTGCGCAGTCGCGTCCTTCACTAGCCTCCATAGAGGCACCGCAGGTGCCAGTCATCGGCAAGTCTGATTGGTTCCACATCCTTCTGTTCTCCAGCTCATGCCGCGCCCGGTTAGCCCCCTTTGGCCAAACAGCTGGCTGGGGACGCGGTGGTTTGGGTGGCTCAGATGAACTTGAAGCACTTTGTTTTATCGTGCGGTAGCCGCGTCTTGAACAGCACAGAGTCAGCACGGTGCTGCGTGTGCAGCAGCGGCATGTAGCCGTAGACGCGCACGAGGAACGCCATGCAGCGGTGGCGCTCCACAAAGTGAGACTCGTCCTGAGACAACGCCTGAGGGCAGCTGGGGCAGCGGAACGTCCATCGCGACGTCACCTGGGGTGGACAAGCACGAGGGGTGGACACACGCAAGGGGTGGACATTTTGAAAGGATGGACACAACGGGCAATACGTCCAGTGGGTGGATACGGACGCAACTGACATCAAGGTCCATCTCAGCATGAGGGCACATGGACAATGCCTCTGCTTTTGTTGATTTTATCGAAGTTGATCCTCACAGAATTCCAGGTGAGAGCCAGAAACTGCTGCACAGAGTTCACTGTCCCATTGGCTTGGAGCGAAAGCCTCCAATATCCTCTGATAAAAAAAAAAAACTAGAAAAGAAATTTTGACAGGATGATGCCTCCACTGTGGCCGCGAGCGGAGCCCCTGTGTGGCATGGTGCTCCGTCCACACCTTGATCGGCGGCTTCTGCGTGATGTGCGACACGAGGAAGTTCATTGCGATATCCTCGCAGTTGGTGAACTCATCCACGAGGTCGCGTATTGCCTGTGGCATCACCAGCGTGTAGAGGTAGGCATAGTACTGTCCGGGAGACAAAGACAAAAATGCCCCGTATAGCCTTGAACAGAATCTTGGGGCAAGTGCTGTTAGCGTGCACCTATGAAGGTCTACACGGAACATGAAGAGGTGGGTGGCCAGCACCATGCCCGGTTGCCTTTGTCTTCCCAGTGCTGATGATTTTACACACCACACCAGGACTTAATTTAAGGCTGAGTTGACGTAGAGGAGACCCAGGACTGGTTCAGATCGTCACTGGTGTACTTGCGCTCACACATGCAGCTGGCACCAATGCACCACGATTGTGATTGCGCAATCACACGGGATCATTGCACGTGGCCTGTAACCCAGCATTGTGGAAGCAGCGTGGGTTGGTGGATCACACACAGACTCATAAAACTCCCTATCCGTGGACGCCATCTCCTGGCTCGCCAGGGTACCGTGGCAGTTGTATGTATGTACAGTATGTTGAACTTTGCACCGCACGTAGCCAACCGTGCGAATTGGAGGTTACAGCAAGTGGATAAAATGTCATTTGTATGGGGATTGAGTGATACTCCCCATGCAAACGTAGGTTTTCTCTGGGGACTTCCGGTTTCCTCCTGATTGTATTTACACCCATTAACATCTCAATATAGGACCACAAAGTTGAGCAATTGTTCGCACTGGTTTTGGCTGCATTTCCACTTTGCGTGTGCCAAACTAGAGAATAACAACGTTTTGAGAAGCAATTAGCATAAATTACTACGTACATTTACATTATTCTAATCATCACCCCGTGACAAATCCCTCCAACTCGACTCGGCACACCTTGTGGAAGAACGCAGCGCCAGTGAGCACCATGGAGAGCTCGCAGGAGTAGTTGGAGTTGTAGAGCCACGAGCCGTGCTGCGCATCCCACGCGTGGTAGCGTCCAGGAAACCCCACGATGCGATCCCGGGCCTCGCGCCAAACCCTGCACGAGCATGGGGGCAGCACGTGGCACACAGATGACACGCACTTACTTTGGGACATACAGGACAAAGAGAGGACACGGCACATGGGAGACACAGGGCACGGCACATGGGAGACACAGGAGACACGGCACATGGGAGACAGGACAAGGAATACAGGAGACACGGCACACAGGAGGCACAGGACACGGCACACAGGAGACACGGCACACAGGAGACACAAGACATGGTAGACAGGAGACACAGGAGACACGGCACACAGGAAACACAAGACATGGTAGACAGGAGACACAGGACACGGCACACGGGAGACAGACCCGTGTCGCGTCACCTGAAACCGAAGATTATCTCATCGTGCCGTAGGTGGGCGTCGTCGTCGATGGAAAGGATGGCCTCGGTGTGGATGGCATCGTACGGGAGGAACCGATTGTTGAGGCTATTCCGCTCCGTGCGTACCACCTGGTGGAGGGGGCCAGTGTGGGGGGGTGGGGGGGGGTACGGCGGCAGGGAGAGGCACGGGTGGTCACTCGCAGGGTTCGGAAGCACAGGTTTATTTGTCGATTTTTTCCATGTCAAAAAATGTTGTGGATTTTTACACATTTTAATTTATATATATATCACACTAATGTATGTATGTTGCATTTCTTTTGCACCATACATAGCCAACCATGCTCATCGGAGGTGCCATGGAAGGACAACAAACTAAACACAAAAAATTATAAAGAAATTCGTTTTCAATCTAAATTTTAAAGTGCATAGCTCAAGTGGCTTCCTAATAAGCTTAAAGTCAAGGGAGGAATTAATTTTTCGTGCTATATTACAAAAAAAGCTTTGCTGGCTGCCTGGCTAGCGCGGTAGTTTATGTCACCCTGCAAATCCACGCGATGACGTCACCCACATCCCACAGCGTGGAGCCAGGGTTGGTGCATCGCGCCGACGTCACGCCCCCCTCTACTCACCCTTTCTCGACCCCGACCGTATGTCCCGTGCAAATGCGCAGGCAGTGCTCGCTTTATTGAAGATTAAAACAAATTAACAATGTTTGACTGAACGTGGACAGTGCTAACTTAGGTGAGTTCTAGTTAGGCCGGACTGAGCTGGTCTGGGTTGGGTCTATGTCTGGGGTGATGTGGTTAGACTAGGGCTGGGCAATGTTCCTGATGGAGCTGGTGAACTGTGACTGACGAAGCGATAAGAGAGCCATGCGTATACCGTGTGTGCACGTGGACCAGAAGAGGGAAACGGACCAGAATGGGAACCCCGATGTCGGGCCACAGCAGCTCAGGGGCAGGGAGCCCGGGCGAGTTCCACACCACGATCACTTTGTGCAGGTATGGGAGGCCGTTGAGCCTCTCCAGCGACCTCATCAGCACCTCATCACGCTCGTACGTGGGCATAAGCACCGTGAATTGCTCCCTCGCCACGTTACCGCCCAGTGCCTCCTGGAACTCGCGGCCCGAGCCCCCCGCGCCCCCCGCGATGGGACGAAACCCTGCGCCCGAGCCCAGGAACTGCGCCTCGGAGGGCAGCTGCGGGTCCCAGGGGGTGAAGGGGAAGAGCAGGAAGGGCCCTGGCGGGGAGTTCCATGCGCGGCCTCTCTCCACCAGCGCCGCGGTGAAGTTACGCAAGAAGCTGGGCGAGGCGTAGGGGGGCTCGGCCTGCATGCCGCCCAGCTCCAACGGAGGGCCCTCGGCCGCCAGCCCAGCCACCTGTTCGAGGTCGGACGACGGAGGCGGGGGCGGGGGGGGTGGCTTCCCCGAGCGGTGGGGGAGCTCCTGGGCAGGGGCGGCCGGCGCCGGTGGGGGGGGCAGCTGCAGACGCGTGCGCACGGCGGCCAGCGCCGACCGCAGTGCGTCCCCCGCGCCCGCCAGGTACGTTCGCCACAGGAAGCGGCCCTGGCGGCGGAGCGCCAGCACATCTGCCTCGCTCACGCCGTGCAGCAAGCCCCGCAACTCCGTGGCGTGCGGCCGCGCCACGAGCAACGTCGCCTGCCGCCAGTCGATTACGTCGGCCAGGGGCAGCGGCGGCGGCGCGTCCCCCCCGAGGAGCACGGGCACGGCACCAGCCTCCAGCGCCTCGCTCAGCCGCACGAGCGCCGCGGGGCCAACTGTCCCGGCTCCCGCCGGCTCCGGCAGCGGCACCAGCGCGAACGTGGAAACCCGCAGGAGCATCAGGCGCTCGTCCCGTGAGCCACACAGCGCCCAGTCGGCTCCACCACCGCCGGGCTCCACGTCTCCGCTGCAGGCAAAGTCCAACAGCGCGCCGTCCCGGCCTCCGGGCCACTGGCCATGCAGCGCGCTGGCCAGGCCACCCCTGTCCTCCGGCGCGGCGCCCTGGAAAGCCAGCAAGTGGCGCCGGGCGGCAGGAACGTGCGGGGTTAGCGCCAGCGGGTCTGGCTCGTCGAGGACGTGCGCCACGGGGGGCAGCACCAGGTCAAAGCCGGGGCGAGGGCGGAGTGGCTCGGAGCACGGCCCCGCCAGCAATGCGCGACCCGTGTCCACACCCGCGCCCAGCGCTGAGCGGTCGCCCGCGGCCAGGGCCAGGTGCACAAGTAGGTGGTTCCTCCCGTCGCCCAGCCAGTGGGGCAGCGCCCGCAGCTGGCGCTCCACATCGGTGGCCGGCGGCACAGGCAGGCCAGCGCGTAGGGGCCCCACGAGCACCAGAAACACGCAGGCGGCGCGGGCGTCGGCGCTCACGTTGGCGGTGTGCTCCCGGAAGGCGTGCCGCGCCAGAGGCTCTAGCTGCGCCCAGAGCGCAGGGTAGTCGCCGGGCGGGTAGGCATGTGCCGAGAATCCCGCCGTGAGCGGGCAGCGCGAGTGGTCAAAGCACGAGTGCATGCGGCAGGCGTATGGGTGTGCCGGCGGGGCCAGCGATTCTGGCCGGCTCGGACTGGGGGCCACGCGTGCCGGGAGCGCCAGCCGTGGCTGCGCTTGCTCCAGCAGCTCCTTGTACGCACGCTCCGTCTGCGCGATGACGTGCCGCAGCTGCGCCAGCTCCTGCCGGGCGGCCTCCACCCCCAGGCGGAAGGCCTCGATGCGTGCCATCAGTCGTGCCAGCTCGGAGCTCAGGCCACGCCGGCGCGCCTCCAGCAAGACCAGCTGCTCACTAACCTGCGGACGGAGAGCGGTGGTGGGGGGATCAGCGCGGAGGAGGACGGAGGAGAGGAGAGGCAAGACGGTCGCGGCACGTGGTGCGGGCACACTCGCCTCCTCGTGCAGGCTGCACAGCTCGCTGGCGGGGAGGTCGGGCCCAGCCGGCAGGCGGGGCAGGTTGTCGCACGGCCCCGCCGCGTGCAGCCGCAGCGAGGAGAGTGGCAGCGCGTCCATGGGGAGGGCCAGGTAGTAGTGAGCGACAAGCGGCACGGCCACAAGCAGCGCCAGCAGCGCGCACGCCAGCTTGAGGAGGCCGCAGCGGGGTCGGCCAGGGCCCCCCCCAGAACCCCGTCCCCCCCCACGTATCCCCCGTCTCATCGCTCACCAACCACTATGCACACTAGTCAACACTCACCGCACATGCACCCACGTTACTCGCCACTCACCGCACAACCAACGTGCTTACGACTAGCATTACGACTCACAGCGGTTGTCAGATTCACCACACGCACCCACACTCGCAACTCACACCATTCTCACTACACTCACGACTAACATCACACATGCACCCACCCTCGCCACTTGCACCACTCACCACAGTGTTACACAACACTCTACACTCCACTCATTTACCAGTCGGGCTCACCACTCAAAACACACTGACCTCCACGTTCACCACACTCAATAAGCTCATCAATCACGAAACTCACCATGTTCACTATTCACCACACTCACCTCTTACCAAACTCACCACTGACCAGACTCAGCACAGTATGGGTAGGAGAGGTTCGCTACCCCACAATGAACTTCTCACGCAGTCGTGTCAAAGCCTGTAACCAAAACCACAACCGCCATTGCCTTAATCATCATCACCACCATCATCATCATCACTATCAATATCATCACTGTCACCATCACGACCATAATTACAACCACCATTACCATCGTCAAAATTACTATCATCACCATGACAGGCACTGTCATCACCATCACCTTCATCACGATCATTACCATATACACAGAGCCACCAACCTCTCCGTCTGCACAGAGCCACCAACCTCTCTCTACACAGAGCCGCCAACCTCTCCCTCTACACAGAGCCTCCAACTTCCCCCTCTACACAGAGCCTCCAACCTCCCCCTCTACACAGTCACCAACCTCTCCCTCTATACAGAGCATCCAACCTCCCCCTCTACACAGAGCCTCCAATCTCCCCCTCTACACAGAGCCTCCAACCTCCCCCTCTACACAGAGCCTCCAACCTCCCCCTCTACACAGAACCTCCAACCTCTCCCTCTACACAGAGCCACCAACCTCTCCCTCTACACAGAGCCTCCAACCTCCCCTCTACACAGAGTCACCAACCTCTCCCTCTACACAGAGCCACCAACCTCTCCCTCTACACAGAGCCTCCAACCTCCCCCTCTACACAGAGTCACCAACCTCTCCCTCTACACAGAGCCACCAACCTCTCCCTCTACACAGAGCCACCAACCTCTTCCTCTACACAGAGCCTCCAACCTCTCCCTCTACACAGAGCCTCCAACCTCTCCCTCTACACAGAGCCTCCAACATCTCCCTCTACACAGAGCCTCCAACCTCCCCCTCTACACAGAGCCACGAACCTCTCCCTCTACACAGAGCCACGAACCTCTCCCTCTACAAAGAGCCACCAACCTCTCCCTCTACACAGAGCCTCCAACTCTACACAGAGCCAACCTCTCCCTCAACACAGAGTCTCCAACCTCTCTCTACACAGAGCCACCAACCTTTCTCTCTACACAGAGCCACCAACCTCTCCCTCTACACAGAGCCACCAACCTCCCCCTCTACACAGAGCCTCCAACCTCTCCCTCTACACAGAGCCAACCTCTCCCTCAACACAGAGTCTCCAACCTCTCTCTCTACACAGAGCCACTAACCTCCCCCTCTTCACAGAGCCACCAACCTCTCCCTCTACACAGAGCCACCAACCTCTCCCTCTACACAGAGCCACCAACCTCTCCCTCTACACAGAGCCTCCAACCTCCCCCTCTACACAGAGTCACCAACCTCTCCCTCTACACAGAGCCTCCAACCTCCCCCTCTACACAGAGTCACCAACCTCTCCCTCTATACAGAGCCACCAATCTCTCCCTCTACACAGAGCCACCAACCTCTCCCTCTACACAGAGCCTCCAACCTCTCCCTCTACACAGAGCCTCCAACCTCTCCCTCTACACAGAGCCTCCAACCTCTCCCTCTACACAGAGCCTCCAACCTCTCCCTCTACACAGAGCCTCCAACCTCTCCCTCTACACAGAGCCTCCAACCTCTCCCTCTACACAGAGCCTCCAACATCTCCCTCTACACAGAGCCTCCAACCTCTCCATCTACACAGAGCCACCAACCTCTCCCTCTACACAGAGCCTCCAACCTCCCCCTCTACACAGAGCCACCAACCTCCCCCTCTACACAGAGCCTACAACCTCTCCCTCTACACAGAGCCACCAACCTCTCCCTCTACACAGAGCCACCAACCTTTCTCTCTACACAGAGCCACCAACCTCTCCCTCTACACAGAGCCTCCATCCTCTCCCTCTACACAGAGCCACCAACCTCCCTCTCTACACAGAGCCTCCAACCTCTCCCTCTACACAGAGCCACCAACCTCTCCCTCTACACAGAGCGACTAACCTCTCCCTCTACACAGAGCCACCAACCTCCCCCTCTACACAGAGCCACCAACCTCCCCCTCTACACAGAGCCACCAACCTCCCCCTCTACACAGAGCCACCAACCTCCCCCTCTACACAGAGCCACCAACCTCTCCCTCTACACAGAGCCACCAACCTCCCCCTCTACACAGAGCCACCAACCTCTCCCTCTGCACAGAGCCACCAACCTCCCCCTCTACACAGAGCCACCAACCTCTCCCTCTACACAGAGCCACCAACCTCTCCCTCTACACAGAGCCACCAACCTCCCCCTCTACACAGAGCCACCAACCTCTCCCTCTACACAGAGCCACCAACCTCCCCCTCTACACAGAGCCACCAACCTCCCCCTCTACACAGAGCCACCAACCTCTCTCTCTACACAGAGCCACCAACCTCCCCCTCTACACAGAGCCACCAACCTCTCCCTCTGCACAGAGCCACCAACCTCTCCCTCTATACAGAGCCACCAACCTCCCCCTCTACACAGAGCCACCAACCTCCCCCTCTACACAGAGCCACCAACCTCTCCCTCTACACAGAGCCACCAACCTCCCCCTCTACACAGAGCCACCAACCTCTCCCTCTGCACAGAGCCACCAACCTCCCCCTCTACACAGAGCCACCAACCTCTCCCTCTACACAGAGCCACCAACCTCTCTCTCTACACAGAGCCACCAACCTCCCCCTCTACACAGAGCCACCAACCTCTCCCTCTGCACAGAGCCACCAACCTCTCCCTCTATACAGAGCCACCAACCTCTCCCTCTACACAGAGCCACCAACCTCTCCCTCTACACAGAGCCACCAACCTCCCCCTCTGAACAGAGCGAACCAACCTCTCCCTCTACACAGAGCCACTAACCTCCCCCTCTAGACAGTCTCCAATCTCTCCCCCTACACCAAACTCTCCCTCTACACAGAGTCTCCAACCTCTACCTCTACACAGAGCCTCCAACCTCTCCCTCTACACAGAGCCTCCAACCTTTCGCTCTACACGGGACCTCCACCGTTTCTCTGAGGCCTCCACCCTCTTTCCGCTACCCAAGCGGACATGACCTTAGCGGATCGCGAATGCTCGTCCATCATTAACATCATGCTCATGGGGACACGGAAGGGGCGGGGGGCATAGGGGACACGAAGGGTGGACACGGGGATGTGTCGGACAAGAGGACGCGGGCCAATGGGGACGCGCGGGGTTGTGGGAGACCAGGGCACACAGGATGACAGGGACACGGCAGGCGTGAGACGCGAGGATGCGGCAGCGCGGTACCGGCAAGGACAGCAGCGCCTCCCTCTCCGCTCAGCCCGGAGTGAGGCGACACTTGGCGCCTCCTAGCGGCCACTTAGACAATTATTCTTGGATGTTTCGGTAAAGTCACGGAGATCGGTTCAGATAAAATTAAAAAAATTACGAAAAACTACGACGTTTCGATCCCAACACAAGCTGTCGTAATAGATTGCTTGTGTTGCGATTGTTTTGGTTATTTTCTTTGAACCTATCTACGTGACTTTACCGAAAGAGCCAAGAGTATGAATTCCTGCAGTCACGAAAGCTTTAAGTCACTTCCACAATTACCGAACATATCCGAGCACTCACCATCATCATCCTCCCTAGGCTAATCCTCCACCTCTTCTAATCATCCTCCTCGTCAACAACAACATCATTATTTTATTTCTCATTCTCCACCCCGACTACCTTATAATGACCACAGCTCCTCAGTAATCCTGCTTATAATCACCCCTGTCCCATTAAACACTGTTACCACTCATCAACACTGTTACTACTCATCAACAAGTCCAATGGCGGAGCCAGGATTTTCAGGAAGGGGGGCAACCCCTCCAGCGATGAAAAATGAAAGAGTTGTTAGTAAGTAAGGAGTTGTTAGTAAGGAGTTGTTAGTTAGTAAGGAGTTCAACTTGATTTGGTGCTTTCGTGACTGCAGGAATTACTCTTTGTTTTTTTCGGTAAAATCACGTAGAAATAAGAAATAATAATAAAATAAAATTACATAATAGCATGCGACGTTTCGATTGCAACGTAAGCAATCATACATGGACTGGGCTGAGTAAGTTGAAGAGCCACCGCACATGCCGCTGCAGCGTGGTGAGGGGGGGGGGGCACAGAAATCAGATTAGCATGCCCACAGGGACTGTGGGGAGAGACAAGACACATACACGTAGACACAAAGGCAGAAACACTGGTAGAGACAACATAGAGACACACACTTAAGTTAAGTGTGACATTTGAGAGAGAGACACGACACATACACGGAGACACAGAGACAAAGCAAAGACACATACTTCATACCTCCCCGTAGAGATGGTTCAACTTGATATGGTGCTTTCGTGACTGCAGGAAAATCAAGTTGAACCACCTCTACGGGGAGGTATGAAGTATGTGTCTTTGCGTTGTCTCTGTTTGTGTCTCCGTGTATGTGTCGTGTCTCTCTCTCAAATGTCACACTTAACTTACGTTTGTGTCTCTATGTTGTCTCTACCAGTGTTTCTGCCTTTGTGTCTACGTGTATGTATCTTGTCTCTCCCCACAGTCCCTGTGGACATGCTAATCTGATTTCTGTGCCCCCTTCCCCCCCCCTCACCACGCTGCAGCGGCATGTGCGGTGGCTCTTCAACTTACTCAGCCCAGTCCAGTTGTATTCCTTTGCTCTGTCTCCGCCCCCCCTCCCTCCCCCTCTATTTAAGGCTTCGACACAGAAGCATTGTTTCACTGTGTCGCATGTGTGTCTCTCTGTGTGTCTCTGTACTCAATCACTCTTCACCTATAATTTAGCAATCTTTGAAATAACGTAATCAGCCAGAACAAGCGTTAATTGTGTTTTGACCGACCCTCTGTGCTGCATTATATTGTTTCCAAATTTTACTAAATCTTGTTCAATTTGATGTGCTTCTCCATCTCTCTGTGTTTCCTCTCTCTCTTAAATTTAGCTCTTCTATACCTGATGATTATTGCTTGCGTTGCAATCGAAACGTCGTATGCTATTATGAAATTTTATTTTATTATTTCTACGTGACTTTACCGAAAAAAACAGAGTAGTAAGGAGTTGTTAGTAAGTCAGGACTTGTCCCTTGCTTTTCATTCGACGCGTGTGCGGCGATGACGCAGCCATCGATCGAGGGTCGAATTCGAACCGTGTTGTGTGATCGGCATCGCACTCATTGAAGGTGTTGATGCCTTCAGGGAAGTCGGGTACTGTACACGCAGCTGCGCACAATTCTGAGTCACTTATAACTGCTTTGCCGTTACTTATTGCCAATTATGGACTCAGACTATTGTCCTATCCTCTCATAGAGTCCCTGGGACGTAATGATATGCTACAGTGGTAGTGGGGTTCGCAAAATTCCGATGTATTACTAATGAATCCCAATGATCCGATCTAAATTAGGTATTTCCATCGGATCATTGGGGGGGGGGGGGGGCACGTGCCACCCCCCACTGGCTCCGCCAGTGTCAACAACCTCCTTGCACGGAGGCACAGCTGATGATGATGGAGGAGGGAGGTGGAGGAGGCGGGGAGCTGTTGTGGATAATGCTGCTGTTGCTGGTTTGTGATGCTGCTGGTCGTGTTTATGTCGCTGTCCTTGGTGCCCTTACTGCTGCTATTGCAGCAGCTGCCTTCGTGACGACGCTCACATAATCAGTTTCATTTCCATTGCTTTCAGAGACACCCAGGTCAACTGTGCACCGGGGAGATGTTGACCCTATACGAGGCCTAGACACACATGGACGGGCACTCATACAGACAGGCACTCATACACATCGGCACATATACAGGCAGGCACTCGTACAGACAAAGAACGCATATCGACAGGCACCCACTCATAGAGACACGCAGGCAGAAAAGCAGGCAAGACAGCCAATTATATAGATAGATATCCATTAATTCAGGCATTCATATACCCAGGGATTCAGATAGACACATAGACAAGAAAGCCAATCGTATACTGTTTGTTGTATTAACACAGGCCCAAATGCCGAAAATCGTAAAGCGGCCAGCAACAAACGGCACAATAAAATATGTTGTAGATAAGCAATAGATTAGCATTAACACGTTTCGGGCAAGGTTGTAATAACTTGGGAAAATTTACGATGGGAAGAAATTCCACAGCCGATAGCACCACCTTCCCCATAACCCGAACCCGAACCCTCACTCCTAAAACGAGGAAAAACAAATTAATTATCCCATAGCGTTCACACATAACATGACTATACATTAATTGAAAGTGGACATGCTCACACGCAAGTTTTCACCACACTTGTTATCGCGGGTTGCTGCCGAAGGCGGCGGCGAGCTCAGAGTAGATCCCAGAGCATCGAGACTCGGACACAAGAAGCACGGATCGTGCTGCACTGCCCTCTGGTGCCCACCTCGTGTTCTTGCACATGGCACCGGGTGCACGGTGATCTATGTGACGTTATTTCGCTGGTTGGCGATGACGTCGACCAGCGCGAATACGTCATCGCAAGAGGCTTACGGGGCCTTCCGCACAAACACGTTATGGTGATGTGACGTCACGCGGTGACGTCATGCACGCCTTCAAGGCCCTGCCCCTTCGGCGCCCTCTTCCTTTCAAGCCGGGCGACATGGCGGCGGTAGGTGTGGGTTGTGGAGAAGGCGGCGAAATCCGTGGCCATCACGGCGCGCGCAGCCAGGGAGCCTCGCAGAATTACCGTGGGGAGACGCAACGCGTTATAGCGCGTACAGCGCTGGGCATATTACCGTGATGGGGGTATGTGGTGAGCATTAATGGTCTCGGCCGGACAAGGAGTTGTGGCGCCTGGTTGAGTTGAAAAGTGGAAGCGCATGGGCTTTGGAGTAGGGGAGGCGAGTTGTTGAATGTTGTGGACGTATTTGCTGATAGACTTGTGACACGTGATGTAGTTGTACGAATCGATAAAAGTTGGCACCGGTGGTGTGGTATGTAATAGTGGTAGAGTGTGTGGCGATAGTGATCGCGTTATTGAAACGGTCCTACGGTATCCCTAGGCTTCCACCTCTGTGCGCTCGTGAGAGTCGTTGCTGTACCGATTACTTAATAATTATTCAGGGCGAACCCTGTGTGATTCATGAAGACCCGGGGATTTTGTGCAGGCCCTGTCTGGACCCTGAATGTCTTGGTAGATGAAGGGCCTGGTAGAGTGTGCAGCCCCTGGTGAACCCTGAAGGCTCTGCTCGATTGATTGTGAAGGCCTCTTGGTCGCCTCTCCCTGCTTGTGGCCTGGCTCGGCGTGGCGAGGAGTGTTACCGCATGGCCGTGTGTACGTACGTACTCTTCTCCGCCGTGTACTTGCCCCGCACCCATGGGAATGAGGCGTTGGGTTTGCATAACACTACAGGGTGCTAGGTTTATTGATCGAGGATTCACTTGGCACACTAATGCTCTGCGCCCTACATTCGCAGCTCTGTGGTATAATACACTAGCGGGAAGTACCCAGCGTTGCCCTGGGGAAAAAAAATATATTTCAATGGATCATGGCTTTGCGTCGCGTCTGATTGCTAAACAACGCAAATGTGTGAAACTCGTTCATTAGGAGCAGGGCGAGAAGAAGGAGAACCCCATGCGCGAGCTGCGAATTCGCAAGCTCTGCCTCAACATCTGCGTGGGCGAGAGCGGAGATCGGCTGACCCGCGCCGCCAAGGTGCTCGAGCAGCTCACGGGACAGACCCCCGTCTTCTCCAAAGGTGCGTGGTGGGGACTCCTATAGTGGCTGCAAGGTAACGTGAAATAGTTACTGGTGCTGCCTTGCACGTATGAGAAGCAAGTATCAAGTTGATTTTGCTTAACCAGGCGAGCGCTCAAGAGACCAGGATGGTCTCGTTTGCAAGAGTGGGTGAGTGCATTAGTAGGTCAGTGGGTAAATTATTTAGTAAGATTCTGAGCACGAATGAGTTAAAGATTATTTGTTTTACCAAGTAAGAACTCAAAAGAGCAGGGTGAGTCATTCGCAAGTGACCTGAATCGCGTGATAACATACAGAGTACAACAATTATGCAAAACGAATATTAATCAATGCATCGTTGGTCAGCCTGCTCCACTTTGACGAATTTTAATTATCCATGATCAATTGACTGCTGGATAAAGGCCTTTCCAATCCATCGCCAACACCTAGGTAAGGGTTTTCATTTCAGTTTTATTTATTTGGTATAGCCCTGTCAGCCATTTGGTTCTTGAATCGGTTGCATCCGCAACAAACCAAAAACATGACAAAGAAAACATCTTAAAGTGATTGCGCAAACAGAAAAATCCAGGAAAAAACTGCAAAAATCTTCCAAAAAAAGCACCGTATATCAACGCTGTGTGCAAAAATCCCAGTGGGATGCAAGTCTGCAACCTGCAGCTCCAAATCCACATACGGCTCTTTCGGGACTGCTTCGTGGCGTTATTAAGGACTATCTCGTATTCACATACACTGCAGTTCTTGAAAAATGTAGTTAAAATGTAGTTTACCGAATAAAATGGCTCTTATTTTGGTTGCAGATTCCCTGCCCTAGGTCCATCGATGTAGTCATCTGGCTAGCACCTACTCATAGACTCTGGGAAGTGTTCCATTCCTTGGCAGCCACTAGGTCGCTGTCTTGTCCATTGACTATACACTATGTAACACAATTTTTGTTCCTGCGTACTAAGTGTTATTTTAATTGCTTATGGCAAAGTATAGAAAATGGCTAGTCCCACAAATTTAGCTTTTGTGACCAGGACTTTGTGAACGAAAGACACATGCACACGTTTTCTCATTGAAAATAGGTATTTTTTTAAAATTTCACTGTCCTGGTCACAAAGTTTGTGGGACTAACCATTTTCTATACTTTGCCATAAGCAATTAGGAAATAACACTTACTACCCAGGAACAACATTTTTTTTTGTTACACAGTGCTATTATCCCTAAGAGCAATGTGTCC